GGGTCAAGTTTCTAAGCTTTCTAAATCTCCATTTTCTGGCTGATGAAAAGAAAATAGGATTCCACTGAGTCTCCCATCTACCTACTCCAGGACTTCTGTGAGAATCAAATGAGATGAAGCACGGGAAAAGGCTTCATAGACATTTGGTTAAAGTGTGAAATGTTTGCAGCTGGCTATAAAGCAAGTTGTGTTACTCGACTGAAGAAACTGGATGGAGGCTAGTCATCGCTAGGGAGAGGAAGCCAGGTGTTGCTACGTGATGTCATTACCCGGCGCCCATAGCCACCGTTTCCGGGCTGGGCTGGGGGCCGCATTTTGCGCCATGTGGTCTCGGCAACGTTGGCTGCAATTTGGTGGGCTGTTGCTCCGGGTGGTGGCGGGGCCTGTGTCCCACTTGGGGGAAGCCGAGTGTTGTTTTGTGGACACCAGGTCCGCAGTGCCATTTCTTGGGGCGCGTCACAGCAGTGCCTGCGTTGAGCGTCTGCCCCATGGTGGTCAGTGTGCATCATAGTGACCAGTAGGACAGTGAGACACTTAGCATATTAGCCTTTTATATATATAGACTAAAGGCCTGACGCATGAAATTCGTGCAAAAGTAGGCCTTCCTTCCCCCAGCTGCCGGCACCAGCTTCCCTCTGGCACCCGGGACCCAGGCTTCGCTCCAGCCACCAGCAGGCACCTGGGACCTGGACTTCCCTCGAAGCTCTGGCTTCCCCTGGAAGGATGTCCGGTCTAATTAGCATATTATGCTTTTATCATTATAGATAGGCCATAATAAGGGTACCACAAGGCCTCTGAGTCAAGAGAGGGCCTAGGTTACATATTCAATCATTAACTCATTTACACTATCCCAGAAGGAAAGAAAAGGCAGCTACTTCAATTAATCACAAAAAACCCTGCCAGGCACAGCCAGTGTAGCTTAGTGGTTGAGTATCAACCTATGAACCAGAAGGTCCCTGTTTGATTCCCAGTCAGGGCACATGCCCAGGTTTCGGGCTTGATTCCCAGTGTGGGGCATGCAGGAGGCAGCCGATCAATGATTCTCTCTCATCATTGATGTTTTAACTCTCTCTCTCCCTTCCTCTCTGAAAATAAAGATCTATTTAAAAACAAAACACAAAACAACCTTGCCAGAAAGAATAAGTCCCAAAACTCCACACTTAAAAATATTAAGTTAATCTCGCAATAGGAAAGAAAAATTAAGATGTTTCCTTAAGCCCTAACCGGTTTGGCTCAGTGGATAGAGCGTCAGACTGTGGACTGAAGGGTCCTGGGTTCTATTCTAGTCAAGGGCATGTACCTTGGTTGCGGGCACATCCCCAGGAGGGGGTGTGCAAGAGGCAGCTGATCGATGTTTCTCTCTCATCAATGTTTCTAACTCTCTATCCCTCTCCATTCCTCTCTGTAAAAAATCAATAAAATATATATTAAAAAAAAAAGATGTTTCCTTAAAAAAATTCTAAAGAGATTATTTCTATAAATTATTTCAGACTGGACGAGTGGTTTAATGCCCACCTTTGTAGGACACTAACAATGACACAAAGTTTTTAATCATCCTATATAATAAAAGGGCAATATGCAAAATGACCCTAACAGAAGACCGAACAGAATGACCGCTTGACCAGTCACTATGAGGTGCACTGATCACCTCTTGGTTCCTTTCCCTGGCCAGCAGGCTCTGATCGTTCGATGGCAAACGGGGAACCGAGGATGGGTGGTGGGGGATGCAGGTAGTGTTAGGCCAAGGCCCCCGCCCTGCCAGTTTCCCCACACACAGAGGGTGACCCACAGAGAGGGTGGGGCCGGCGATCAAGCGGGAATGGCTAACCTTTCGGTCCCTTCCCAAGGCTGTCAGGCTCCTATTGCCCGATGGCAAACGGGAACTGGGGTGGGTGGCAGTGGGGGGTGGGGCCGGCTTCAGGCAGCTGGTGAAGATGGCCCTGATTGCAGGCCAGGCCTAGGGACCGTACCCGCGCACAAATTTCGTGCGCCGGGCCTCTAGTAGTTTTATAAAAGACTTATTTTCAAACACTACTTAATACTTATAACAGTACTATAATTTGGCATCATCCTCATTTTAATCACTTACACATGAGTAAGGAAGTCAGGAAGAATTAGTCTTTGAAGTCACACAAAAAAGAAAGCAGTTTATGAAACAATTTTACAAATGAACTGTAATGTCCCTTCCTATTCCAAATAATTTTATCCTATGACATTCTTTAATCTCAAATGATAGAGACCAAAGTCTAAAAAGCCATTTGAAGTATAGATATATTTGACAAGGGCTTATAGGAAAACTACAGGTTGGGGCATAGACATTTTTACTCTAATTTATTAATATTTTCACCAATATCCATGAACCCAGTCTTTTTTATTTTAACCACTATAGTGGGTTACAACAATTTTTCTCCTATTCTTTTTCTAGAAGTTTTATGGTTTTTAATTTCTGCGTTAAATTACCTTGGCACTTTAGTAAAAAATCAACTGGCTACATATTTAGGACTATTTTTGAATTCTCTATTCGATTCCATTGCTTTAATATGCCCATCCTTATGCCAATACCACACAACTTTGCTTACTGTAGCTTTATTAAAAATATTGAAATTTGCCCAGCTGGTGTGGCTCAGTGGTTGAGCATCTACCCATGAACCAGGAGGTCACTGTTCGATTCCGGGTGAGGGCACATCCCTGGGTTGCAGGCTCTATCCCCAGTAGGGGGGGCAGGGTGTGCAGGAGGCAGCCAATCAATGATACTCTCATCATTGATGTTTCTATCTTCTCTCCCTCTTCCTTCCTCTCTGAAATCTATCTATCTACCTATCTATCTATCTATCTATCTATCTATCTATCATAAATATAAAATAGAACAAAGGTAATTAGTCTGTGAAAACATATTTGAAATCCTCTGGCAAAGCCGAAAATCCAAAAACACCTAGACTATAAAACCAAAGCCATATCCAAGTTGGGCATGAAAAAAACCCTGGTATTTGGGTAGTTACTATAGGAATGGACCAGTACCTTAACTGCCTGTGGTGTTGAAAAATTTAGCCAAGCAGGAACAAAGTCATGCTGCGCCATTTAGGTCCAGTGTCTCTTTTCAGCAAGGTGAGGCATCAACCTCATGGCCAGGATCTGAAAATGAGAAAACTCTCATTATTTATGCTTGCAAGATCTTGATACTAATGTGTAAAGGAGTTTGTGATTACTTAAGATCCTGCTCTTTACAGAAAGACCTGCCCTCTGAGTCTGTCTAGATTACTAATCAGAATCCATACTTCAGAGAAGTTTTAAACAAAGAAATGGTCTGTGAATATATATCCATGAAAAACACACATACAAAAAGTGACCTAGACCTGGAAGGTTATATGAAAGAAGCTAATGAATTCTTGAGTTATAGCAGAAGAACCTTAAGAATAAACATTTAGCCGAAACCGGTTTGGCTCAGTGGATAGAGCGTCGGCCTTCGGACCGAAAGGTCCCAGGTTCGATTCCGGTTAAGGGCATGTACCTGGGTTGTGGGCACATCCCCAGTAGGAGATGTGCAGGAGGCAGCTGATCGATGTTTCTCTCTCATCGATGTTTCTAACTCTCTATCTCTCTCCCTTCCTCTCTGTAAAAAATCAATAAAATATATTAAAAAAAAAAAAAAAAGAATAAACATTTAGCCCTGGCTGGTTTGGCTCAGAGGATAGAGCATCGGCCTGTGGACTGAAGGGTCCCGGGTTTGATCTGGTCAGGGGCACATGCCCGGGTTGGGGGTGTGCAGGAGGCAAAGAATCAGTGATTCTCTCTCATCATTGATGTTTCTCTCTCTCTCCCTCTCCCTTCTTCTCTGAAATCAATAAAAATATATATTTTTAAAAAAGAATAAACATTTACTCAAAATTACAGATACTTATAAAAAGAGATTAATCTCCTTTTGGTAACTTTTGGCAAAACCAGTAGGGAAAAAAAAGGCAGTAAAAAAATCTTCCTAGAGAAGGAAGATACAACCTTTCAAGAGTTTTATTTAGTTCACATTTTAATTTCCTCAAACACAACTATCATCAGTTTTTCCTGAAAGATCCATTATTGTCTCCAAATCACCCTACTGATATTTTCCAAAATCAAATACACCAGAAAGCAGTATATCTTCCACGATACATATACATACAGTCTTCTTCCCAAGTTAGACATAGGAGAATATTTACCCCAGAGTGTAACCTCTGTGGTCCTGTTTCCTGAACTCCTTGAGTCTGCCAGCTGGATTTCCCACGAGGTTCTCGTTAGAAGGGTGCTTAATAAGGCTGACCAGCAGCACACCTTATGATGAAGCACAAAGAAGCCAGGCTCTGTGTGGATCACTCTCTCAGTCCCCTCAATTGCTCATCTTAAACTACCTAGTTCCTGACACAGTTTCCAAAAGGGAAGAGGGGGGAGGGGAAAGGAGAAGGGGAAGATAAAGAAAGTATTTGTTACATTTAAAAATGGGGGAAGGGGAAAGACCTATGTCTATATTCACCTCATTCAACTTCCTTGAGTGATGGCTCTATGATGTTGTTTAAATAGATAATACATGGATATTTGCACAGTGAGTACAAACACTGTTCATAACAAGGGCATAACTAGAAAGATAGGTGGACTTGCAAGGGCAAATAATGTCATCTAAGTGACAGATAAAAAATATAATATTAAAGAGCTATAAAAGGTCTTCTGAGCATTCAACTCCAGTGGCAAAACATCCACATGAAAAGCCCTTAATTTACAAATCTCATTATTCTTACACAGCTGCTAAAAATAGTGTGCAGATATGTATTTATATTTGTTTTATTCTTCAAAATCTAAGGATATAAGAAATCTTGTTTGAAAAAAAATTAGACAGGAACTTGATATACTTTTCCCTCCAAAGAATAGCAGCTTTCAAGGCAAATTTCTTGGTATAAAGCTCCCAAATGTATCTTCTATTTCTTTGGTCTTCACTATTTATAAACTCACAGCAAAATTGAAACAAGTAGAAAGATGGGGGTTAAGGAGTAGTCAAGGAGAAAGACAGTTCCAAAGTGAGGTTTTCTTCTCTGCAGTTTTCTGTATTTCACTTGTTTTGCCCTTTCCTGAAGACTGAAATTGAGCTACTGGAAGGTGATGTGAAGAATCTTCTATTGTTTCAGTAGAGAAGTCATTTATTATTTTGGATCCATATCCATCATTATTCAATAATTTAAAAGGCCACAGGAATCTAACACTATAAAAAAAACACAAAATAACATTATCACAAGGTGAAATCATTATTATATATAATTGCTAAAATGAGACAATCAAATGTTCAATCAAATAAAGGTCCTTAGGAGTCAAAACTCTTAAGTCTGATTTAGACATTAATGTGTCACCACCTATAGCAACAACATAATAAGCTGGTTATAATTCTAAGAATTTTAGAAAAGCCACCTGAAGAGAGTCTGCTTTTTAAAAAATCTTCACCCGAGGATATGTTTTCAATCATTTTAGAGAGAGAGGAAGGAGAGAAAGAAACATGGATGTGAGAAACATCGATCAGTTGTCTCCCGTATGTGCCCTGATCGGGAATCAAACCCACAACCTTGTCCCAATCAAATGAATCATCCGGCCAAAGCAAGAGCTCGCTTTTTTATATAACCATTAATCCAATTAGCTATCAAAGGAATTCAGAAATGCTAATTATGCCCTGGGTTTGATTTCCAGTCAGGGCACATACCCAGGTTGCAGTTCAATTCCTAGTCAAGGTGCATGAGGGAGGCAACCGATTGATGTTTCTCTTTCTCATTGATGCCTGCATGTCTGTTTCTCCCTCCCCCTACTCCTCTCTTTAGGTCAATTAAAAAAAAAAAAAGGAAATGCAAATTAAAGTGTTAGATTTATACATAGAACAGCTTGCTATAAATAAATGGTCGAAGAGCCATAGAACTTGCTCATTTATTACCACAGTCATCATCTATCTAATTATTCAGGCTAGTAAATACCTCCATGGGAAAATAAAGGGAAAGAAATAAAAAAGATCATGGGGTGGGGGGTTCAATTTTATCTATAATACATTATTTCTTAAGTTGAGTGATGTGTACATGACTATCCACTTGTTCTCTACACTTTTTTATATACTTGTAATACTTAAAGAGTAGTAATAGAATAAGCATATATGAAGTTGGGTAAATGATTTGAATAATGTATTTTATAAGTTGAAACACATATACATGTAAACATACATATATATCAATCATCCAGAGTATATCTAGTCCTTCAGCAAAAATGGAATAGCCCTAACCGGTCTGGCTCAGTGGACAGAGCGTCAGCCTGCGGATTGAAAGGTCCCAGGTTCGATTCCAGTCAAGGGCATGTGCCTTGGTTGCGGGCACATCGCCAGTAGGAGGTGTGCAGGAGGCAGCTGATCGATGTTTCTAACTCTCTATCCCTCTCCCTTCCTCTCTGTAAAAAATCAATAAAATATATTTTAAAAAAATGGAATAGTCATAAAAACTGACCTTACACTAGTTGTTTCAATTAGTTCCAAAGAATAAAACACCCATGTTCTCTAATCACATTGAAAAATTAGAAAATGACTTTCTCTTGCAGTTCCCTCTCCTTCTCCTTCCTAATGAAATCCTGTCCAAAGCCATTAGGTGGGGTCAAGCAAGTTAAGGATCTGTTGGTGGCAGAGGAGGTGCTACAGAGACCCAGAGCAGGGTGCTGGGGCCTAACCAGATGTGAAGGGTGTCCATGTGGGGTGGAGAATGGAGAAATGTGTGTGTGTAAAGTAGCGGCACAGTGCAGGATGTCAGAACCCATTAGGCAACACAAGCAAGTGTCCCAGTAGGAGGGCAGCTCAATGCAGAGTGGGAGCCTGAGTGGAATGAGAAGGGCATCCTGGCACAGGGATAAGGCCAAGCTAACTGAGGGCTTCCATGCAGCAAGGTGCCTTCACAGGTGTTCCAACTTGGGTGTGGTGAGAAAGGAATACTTTCAAGGGAGAATGTGATAACAGGAAGTTGGTCATATATTGGGAATTAATCAAAAAGTAAAAATATTAGGAAGCATGGGTGTCAGATTGCTTACTGTGTGAGACAGGAGGCAATGGTAAAGAAAATTTCAAAATAAACAGAGCAACAAAAAAACACAATAAATTTGCAATATTACAGCTAGGGCAGCACTTAATAGAAAATAAGTTTTAAAAACACTGTTTAAGAAGACTAAAAACAGCCCAGCCGGCGTGGTTCAGTGGTTGAGCGTTGACTTATGAACTAGAAGGTCATGGATCCGAGTCCTGGTCAGGGCATAATTCAGGGTTTTGGGCTCGGTCTCTAGAGGGGTGCATGCAGGAGGCAGCCCATCAATGATTAGCTCCCATCACTGATGTTTCTATACCTCTCTCCCTCCCTCTTCTTCTCTAAAATCAATAGAAATAGATATTTAAAAAAAAAAAGACTAAAAAACAAACTGACCTAATAATCTAGATGATAGAAAGAATTGAATTCATGACCTTCTGGTGCACTGGATGATGTGCTCCAACCGAGCCACACTGGTCAGGGCACTTTTTATAATATATTATAAAGTCCTTTGGTGATGTCTTTTGGGGCTGTAACCATTTTTAAAGGCAGACTAAATGAAGTGGCTTTTGCTTAAGTACTTTAATTGTGCCTTCTAATGCACTTAACACTTGCTTCTTCAGAGTTACAAATGTTGATCTTAACTCCCAGCAGCAGGCCAAAAATTTGTTGCTTGTAGAATGTCCTTCTTTGAAACTCACAGGACATCTAGCATGATGCCTTCCAAGTAGAAAAGATTCAAAGGTTTAATAAATTATAATAAAGCAAGGATGCAGAAAAATTGGAACCCTCTACATCATTGGTAGAAATATAAAATGGTGCAGCTGCTGTGGAAAATATTTGGTGATTCCTCACAAAGTTATAGAGCTACCATATGACCTAACATTTCCACTCCTAAGTATATATCCAAGAGAAATGAAAACATCTGTCCATACAAAAATTTTTTAAGTGAATGTTCATAGCAGCTTTAGTCACAATAGCCACAAAGTAAAACAACCCATTCATATATCCATCAACTGATGAATACATAAACAAAATGTCATACATCCATACAATAGAATATTGTTCAGCTATAAAAAGGAATAAAGTTCTGATACATGCTACCACATGGATAAACCTTGAAAACATTATGCTAAGTGAAAGCAGCTAGATACACAAAATGACAAATATTACTATATGACTCCATTTATATGAAATATCCAATCCACAGCGACAGAACACAGATGAGCAGTTACCAGGGACTAGGGGAAAGGAAGTCTGAATGCTTAATGCATATGAGGTTTATGTCTGGGATAATGAAAAAATTCTGGAACTAGATAGTGGCGGTGATTGCAAAACATTGTCAAGGTACTTAATGTGACCAAATGGTACAGTTTAAAATGGTTATGATGGTAAATCTTATATTATGTGTATTCTGCCACAATTAAATAATTATAATAAATCTCTTGGATGTCAATAAAAACATTCAATATTAAATGTAAGCAATGCTGTATCTACTTCATTCTTTTTCAAGTTTTATCCAAGGGCTTTTGCTTTCTCCCTGCAATATAACAAAATCACCTGTATCTAAATCAGCCGTGGGCAAACTACGGCCCGTGGGCCGGATCCGGCCCGAAATGAAAAAAACTAAAAAAAAAAAAAAAAAAATCGTACCCTTTTATGTAATGATGTTTACTTTGAATTTATATTAGTTCACACAAACACTCCATCCATGCTTTTGTTCCGGCCCTCCGATCCAGTTTAAGAACCCATTGTGGCCCTCGAGTCAAAAAGTTTGCCCACCCCTGATCTAAATACTAGATCCAACCATTCATAACTATTTGACTAATAATCAACCTTTTGTTTTCTTTTTATTTCAGGGAGAGGGAGAGGGAGAGATAGAAACATCAATGAGAATCACCAATCTGCCACCTATTGCACACCCCCTACTGGGGATTGAGCCCCCCAAACCGGGCATGTGCCCTGATGGAATCGAATGACTTCCTGGTTCATAGGTCAAGGCTCAACCACTGAGCCACACCGGCAGGGTGATGATCAACCTTTTCAAAACCTATGACTTATTGGGCATTTCATATTCACCCCGTCAATCTATGAGGTACTTCACAACATGGCCTAATTTTACACTTTATAATTAAACTTATACTGCTAGTACAGACTATCCCTGACAAGTGCCTTATCTCAATCTTCTCTACCTTAGGTTTCCTTTACCACTCTACCTTGTGTGTATTTTGATCTCAATCGTTCTCATTTTCTCCACAGTCCACATCTACGACTACTGGTACCTACAACCTCTATTTACTCTGGTTTTATTCAACTAACAAAAACCACACCCATCTCTCATCGAGTCTGTATTCCCTTTAGGTATTTATGCTCATTTTCCTTTAGTCTTTCTTAACAAAACTTCTATAGAGAGCAGAGTACACTTAGTGTTTTCATTTTCTCACTCCCCTATTTATTCCTCAATCCATACCAAATTACTTCCCTCCCACATATATACAGTAATTCAAGTTACCTCTATAACACCACTGGGGCTTTGGCTATAATATAGAGTACAAAAAATAACCTATGGGAAAATAAAAAAGTACACAGTGTCTAATTTTTAATCATCTTGTAAGTGAATATTCATAGCAGCTTTAGTCACAATAGCCACAAAGTAAAACTTTAAAATTTGGGACCATTGAGGAGAAAACCAAAAGAGTATGGGGACCCAGAAAGAAGTTCAGCAGAAGTGTATTTCAAGAAAGTAGGAATGATCAACTATATCAAATGCTATTAAATGATGGAAGACTGAGAACTGACCACTGGATTTAGCAGCATGTACATTACCAGTGACTATGCTGCATAGGGCCGCGTGAAAGCCTGATTTGACTGGGTTCTAAGGGACTGTAGATTGCAACACTCCTTTGAGTGTTGTAGAACAATGAAATAGGGTAGCAGCTAGAAGATCAAAGAAGTTTTTTTTTGGTACATTGATGGGAATGACCTAGTAAAGAAGAAAAACCTGATGTAGTTGATGAAGCTGAAAACAATGCCCTTGAGTAGGTGAAGAGTGGGATCTGATATGCCAGAGATTGGCCTTCAATGGCTTTGTTATTTACAGTAATAGTAGAGGGAAGGCTGAATACCTGAGTACTACTACAATGAGAGCTTAGACCAGTGATGGCGAACC